TTTGTTACCTTATAGCGTCTTAATAGTTTAACCAATCGCTGTGAAATTTGATATGCACGTAATATAATATATGGAATGGAGAGGAAAACAGGCTACTCTTTATCCTGGTCAGTGAACATATCCCGGTCACGCGGGCAAAGTTGCGAGTAAAAGTTAGTAGTATATTATATATTTTTGGATAAAATATTAAAATAGAATATATTGGAGGGGAAATCCTTTTTATTCTTAACTAACGTCCCGTCCCGGCTTCGCTTTACGACACCAATGATAATGGAAGGGGTGGTCCATTCTATGCCGGGACCGCACGGAATTAATATTAACTGTTTGTATCGTATTATAAAATCTTTATTGTATACTAGCAGCCCATCCCGGCTTCGCACGGGTGGGCATTATTACATTTTAAAAAGTGGCCATTAAGGCTGCACACGCGACGGAAACTTAAAAATGGGGTAACTTCTCCCGTTTTCTCAACATTTCCCTTCACTGCTCTGCTCCTATTGATCGTAGCGTGATGAAAAGTATACTATAACCTGCCCAGGAGTATGAAGAATAATTGTACCAAATTTCGTTAAAATCCGTCGAGTGGTTTTTTTCTATAACGAACATACAGACAGATAGACAAAAATTTTACTGATTGCATTTTTGGCATCAGTATCGATCACTAATCACCCCCTGATAGTTATTTTGGAAATATATTTCATGTACAGAATTGATCTCTCTACAGATTTATTATAAGTATAGATAGATAATAATAATAATATACTTTATTACTCAGACTACAATTTGGTCCATTTTGTTAGCAACAGTTTCCTTACAAACTGTGTTAGTAAAACAAAAAAAAAAAAACAAAAAAAAGTGCACCATTCAACTAAAGCAATTCATTTCAATTAAAAATATTAGTTGTTATTTAACAGTTTTATATAAAACTCATATTTTTATACAATTACGTCAAATTTTGAAACGTTTTTTTTTGGGATTTATTTTTCTCGCGATCGCAACACCCGTTTTTATTTCCGAAGCAGAATCTTTTTTTGACAGACAATTCCGCGTTCTAAATTTGAATCTTTTAAAAGTCTACAAAATATTTCGTTGTTATTTTTTGTGCATTTTATTTTATTATATAATTAATGTGAAAGTTTGAAAGGTGTTTAGATGTTTGTATGTTTGTTATTTAATAACGCTTGTATGGCTGAATGGATTTAAATGGAATATGGTACGCGGGTAGGTTATATCTAAGGTTATATCCTTAACACATGGGATACTTTATATACTGATTCACACGAGTAAAGCTGCGGGAACACGGGCGTAACAGAGTATACTGTTTCGCCCATGATACCCCCCATGCGTTGCTATTCCTGAGAACTCAGGTGTTATTCCTCTGTACCCAGTAAATTCACGACATATCCCACCCTTCAAACCAAAACACAGTCATGCAAACACAACTGCTTCACGGTTGAAACACGAATGGGACAGAGGTACTCAAGCAATCGATTTTTGTACAAAGTCTCCCTCTGGTAAAAGCTTTATTCGTGTGATTAAAGTTAATACAATGGTGTTTAATAATAAGTTATCTTTTGGCTATGTAAATAATAGTCTTACATGGTTGAATGCAAAAGTTTAAGTTACTCAGCAAGCTTGGAGAGGGCTATGCTCGGAGTTTATTTGCGTGATAGTATCGGAAATGGGAATATCCGTAAAAGAACCAAAGTAGGGCAAATTGGCTAGCCACATATCTCGACGAACCGACCAACCATGGGGAAGAAAGGTTCTTAAGTGGCGACCTCGTACGGGCAAATGCTGTGTAAGACAACCACCTCTAAAGAGAGTGACTACTTTAAATGCATTGCAGGGAGTCGAAGGATCCAAATAGCTCAGGACCATTCTTTATGGCAGTCTATGGGAGAGATGATGAAGACGATGACCTAAGTAAACAGCTAATGTTAATGATGGTGATCTATCTCCCAAACCACCGCCCTAGTTACGGGACTGCCGTGATCCTTGGGGATCAATTCACAGTTCGCATTATTCATAATAATGCTAGTGAATTAAAATAATACTCCGTCGAGAACGCAAGCTTCAATTCGAAGTCAAGTCCCGTATTCTGGAATGCTTAAAATTTATCCATTGCTAACTTTAACCACGGAATATTTAGTTAGTTTAATCCTTACCAATATTGCTTTGCATTATTTTGAATTTCAATAAATATTATTATTATTGCAAACTAGCTTTTACCTGCGACTTCTTTCGCATGATTGGGACAAAATATCACCTTCACCTTTATATAATACGTGCACATTCATTGTCATCGTCATTGACATCATATCAGCTTCTAACTGTCCACTTCTGAATATAAGCCTCCCTTAGGGGGGGGGGAGGGGGGATGCCTGTAGTTGTCACGCTTGGTATTTTTTTTATACAATTTAGAATGGCAAACAAGCTGACGGCCCACCTGATGGAAAGTGGTAACCGTCGTCTATAGACATGAGCAGTACCATGGACAGAACAGAGTATACTGTTTCGCCTTGCATTACCATTCCTGAGGACTCAGGTGGTATTCCTCTGTACCCAGTAAATTCACGCCATATCCCACCCTTCAAACCGAAACACAGCCATGCAAACACAACTGCTTCACGGTTGAAACACGAATGGGACAGAGGTATCCAAGCAATCGACTTTTCTACAAAGTCTCCCTCTGGCATGGCGGGTTGGCAACGGCAGTTTGTTTTTGGGTGATATTTTAAGAGAAACGCTGCTGTCCATCCCTCGCCCTCCCTTAGTAGGCTCTTATGACACATATGACGCATTCGAGTATTCTGACACTTCCCTATGGTTGACTAGGAGAGAATGCTGTTAGCATTAAGTCCGCCATGTACACATATATGTACTAAGTAATAAATAAATAAATACGGGAAGAAAGGCTATGTGGGTGGGAGGAGCACACGGCTTAGGTATTACTGTGTAAATAAATAAATATGTAAATAAAAAAAAGCTAGTGTTTTTAAAAAGCAAATCACAATTAAATATAACAAAAATATGTTATAGAAGACGTTCAAAGAATTATATTAGTTATATAAAAATGTTAACTAAAATAACAATATCTGTATATATAAGACTTAATTCCCGAAAGGCTAGTCAGTTACACATAAGGCATTTAGTAACCCACATTCATGATAAATAAATTAATTAGCTAATTAATTGATTGATACTCTTTGGGGAGAATCAACAGAATAATAAAGCAAAGCAAAACAAAAACGCCCCTTTTCGGACACACGTTTCATATTAGTGTATCTCCCTAGACATACCACGAACAACTTCTAAGATTGTTCCTATCGAAGTTTCCCGAAACGTGTCAATGTCAGAATTGACTGTCAATTTTCAAAAACAATTAAATATATATATTTATTTAAATTTTTTTGAAAAATTTTCAAAAACAAATTTAAATGATTCAAAGTGACAGCGAACTAGAAATTTAAGTTTGCAATATGATAGATATTTATTTATTTATTTATTTATGCTTTATTGACCACATTACAAAAAAATGTCTGGTACAAAAGGCGGACTTAATACTATATAGCATTCTCTCCCAGTCAACCTTTGGCAAAACAGAAATTTTAACATGCGGTGAAAAAAATTACAACACATACAATAGAGATTATATAAATATACATACATGAATATATTAAACAAATATTACATAAATATACAAATATGTAATAAAAATATATATATACAAATATAAATATACATATATAAATATACCTACTTATAGATTATATACGATAACACAAATAAACAACGATAGAGATCAAAAGTGATGATGATGAAGGTGAACTGCTTTCACAGTTTTTTCCAAAGATATTCGTAGACTTTTCTCTTAAAAATAAATTTGTTAGAAATTTGTCTTATGTCCATGGGTAGCGCATTCATCATGATTCAGCATGGGTAGATATCAGCTATCATCAGATATATATAATCGAAAATTTGGATTTCAATAAAAAAAAAGGGTTTGAAAATTTCAAGGACAAAATATAAGTATGTTTATAATTACTCCTCTCCATCTAAAGGTTGCCTGGAAGAGATCGCTTTTAGCGATAAGGCCGCCCATTGTTTTCTCATTGTGATTATTTCTTGTAATTGTTTATAATTATAATAAGTTTACTATTGTAATCTTTTAGAGGAAACAATAAAGAGTATCTATCTATATGTAGTTCATTATTAATAGCATATTTATATAAATAAATACTCGCAAATGCCACATAATTACACCAATAATCTGAAGCCAGAATAACCTGTATTATAAGAAATCAGCCTACTAAGATCCAGAGACTCAACTCAGACCATACAGAAGTCAGCTAATTCGGAAAATTTCGTTTTATAATTTCGTAAATTGATTATGCATCAATTTATATGTTATTTCGACGTTTCACATTATCATTATTTTCGTTTATCGTGGTTTTTAAGAAGTTCCCAAAGAGGGCTTGACGTCAGGCAGGTGGCCGGTCGTAAAACTAAAAACCAAATCTTTTTGTAACATGGATAAAATCATATTACGCCGACCCCAAATGATTGGGACAAGGGTAGGAAGATGATGATCGCGGTTTTTAAGAAAAACTTACTTTTTGTGTTTAGGGGGGATGAACAAGCATATGGCCCAACTAGTGTTATGCCCAAAAAGTGTTTGCAGATTTTGTCACAGTGAGGAAGGAACGCCGCAGCACTGAATGTGTGGCTGTAGCCCACTCATAAATAAACGATATATCTCCTTTAGAAAACACACTCTACATCCTGAGAAGATAAAAAACATCGCTACAAAAAACATCCTAAATCAATGATAGGAATTAGCAGCGATCTTTAAAAAAAGGCGAGCACAAAAGATCTTGGAAAGGTCGCAGTGCCACAGGTTTTTCTGCTTGAAAAAGTCCGTCTCTCAATAATCATAATAAGGGGAGGGGAAATTCGATGGGACACAGGGTACCTGGGATGAAGCCGACATCACTCACCTCCAACGGTTCTGTCGTCAACAGGGGCAGCGCTGCCGATGACCACGCGATGCAAGCGCCAGCCGCAAACGCTCCCAAGTTCACTGAATCAAATAATAGTTAAAATATAATAATTAGTTAATAGTTAAAATCAATCATTATTGAATGAATGAATGAATGAGTTTACTTTATTTGCATTATACAATATAGGAAATAAACAAGACAATTAATAAATATAACCTTACAATTGTATAAGTATAATAATTAATTAATTATTAATTATATAAAATTAATTATAATAAATAATTATTATAAAAATAATAATAGTTATTACTACAAATTTAGAAATTAGGTAGATGCCATACCAGAGGGAGACTTTGTACAAAAGTCGATTGATTGGGTACCTCTGTTTCATTCGTGTTTCTATCGTGAAGCAGTTGTATTTGCATGACTGTGTTTCGGTTTGAAGGGTAGGATATGGCGTGAATGGAGTACATAGGAATAACATCTGAGTCCTCAGGAATGGCAACGCATGGGGGGTATCATGGGCGAAACAGTATACTCTGTTATGTCCATGGTACTGCTTATGTCTATAGGCGACGGTTACCATTTTCCATCAGGTGGGCCGTCAGCTTGTTTGCCATTTTAAGTTGTATAAAAAAAAGATGTAAAAAATAAATTAAAAATATATGGTTGATACTGAATAACAGCCATATTGGATCAATATCCACATTGGATTATTGAATCCAATATGGTCCAATATAGTATGGACCATATTAGATTCTAATATGCTTGGCAGGGGGGAAAGGGATTGTTAGTAATGGAGACTGAGAATCCCATTGCTAGCAATATACCCAACCAGGTCGACCTCCTCGCGGTTCTCCCTGGAAACTATCATGGTTAATTCCTGATGAATTCATCATGATGGGCTAACTGGCCTGTTTTCATTCTCATCTATCACCCTTCACTGGTGCTCCGCCAGCGTATCCCGTTAGCGCAGGCGGGGTTACGATACTATATACCATAATATACCATACATGCTTGGCAAAATGTGGGCATGTCGAGTTCATCACAATGGTAACAGTCGTAATATCTTTGACTAACACACTTCAGTTGGACAACGTTTGACTGCGACCTAGAGATCCCAAGTTCGAATCCCAGCCTAAATTTTTTCATACCACAAAGGTGGTAAACAAGGATACAGTCTATCTGATAGTAAACGGCTACTGTAGCCTATGGACGCCTATAATACTATTCTAAGGGTATCACGTGCGCGTTGCCGACCCTTAAGAAATTTTAATATGCCCTTTTTGCAGAACCCCATGCTGTAGTCTTTAGGGAAAGCCTCAACAGGATGTTCATTTCATAACCTACTCCAAAGACTACGGTAACTCCGTTTACCATAGGACTTGCTTTACATATATACTTGTTTGCTACCAATGTAGTATAAAAAAAGTATAAATTTTTCTGTTGGTTGTACTAAATGATTCTTTCTGTTTTTATAATACTGAGGTCATCAAATGATGATGGATGATGATGATGATATACAATTAAACACAGTCTCACCTATACCGGTCGCAATGTACTGGGTGGTGATACCAGACATGTCCCGCTTTATGTCTGGCACTGTTTCGATCCGATGCAGTTGTTTTGGTCGGCCATTCTTTTCCGGTATTTCTGGAGGGCTAGGAGTGTCTAAGGAGCCCTCTTCTACGTCCACACTCGAAGAGCTGGCTGGTTGGTCTGGCACTAAAAAAAATTTACAGATATTATATTATTTAAATTTATGTAAATTAATATTATTTATTTATTATATTTATATATAAATTTTGTCAGTTAAGTTTACTAATTATAAAAAGTAGTCGTGTTATCAAAATAGTTTAAAATTGGTGAATTTATGTTTTTTTTTTTGTTGGATGAAAATGGATTGGTAACCCCGCCCGCGCTAACGCTATACGTTGGCGGAGCACCAGTTAGCCCATCATGATGAATTCATCATGAAGAATCAATCATGATAGTTTCCAGGGGGAACCGCGTGGAGGTCGACCTGGTTAGGTATATTGCTAGTAAAAGGATTTTTAGTATCCATTACTACCAATCCCTTTCCCCCCGAATTTATGGTTTAGGTATCACTACATAGTATAAAATAAAGTCGCTGTCGCTGTCTGTCCGTCCATATGTATGCTTAAATCTTTAAAACTACGCAACGGATTTTGAAGCGGCTTTTTTTAATAGATATAGTATATAGTGATTCAAGAGGAAGGTTTATATATATAATATAGTAGAGAAACACTGATAATTTTGGAGATATCTAATGTGATGAGATGTAGTGTGCACCCGTGCGAAGCCGGGCCGGGTCGCTAGTTTAAGCATAAATAAGTGCGTAGAAAACTACATAAAAAAAAAAACAGAAAAAATAAACCAGATAAAATACATCAAAGAAAAATGAGACATGCCGCCGCCCATGATCACCCGCAACACCGACGGCATTGCAGGTGTGCTGCCGGCCTTTTAAAAGGGAATATGCTTTTTTCTTGAAGGTTACGTTGTCAGCCGTTGCGATGAACAAAGAGAATAATATAATTTGTTTATTTAAATATATTATTTAATATAATTGATATAATATTTATATTTAGTTTATATTTATTTAATATTATTATAAATATTATAATTAATTATTTTATTTATAGAATTTAATTGTTCTTATAAACAAGTGTAGTTTATTTATATTATATTCATTATATCAATGAATACTGATAAATATGGATAAAGCGGTCAAGATCATGTCAGATACGCAGTAGGTAATACATGCATTATTTATTTATTTATTTGAAAATTACTCACTACACTTTACAGTCTCCCAAAACGTGTAGTGAGCCATAGGTTTATTTTACAAACTTACAAACACTTATAGTTGGTTTCAGTAGCTATATTTATTTACTGCAGTTTAAGTAAACTGTAGTAATAAATAGCTTACTAAATGTATAGACTTGGGGGGAAAGGGATTGTTAGTAATGGAGACTGAGAATCCCATTGCTAGCAATATACCCAACCAGGTCGACCTCCACGCGGTTCCTCCTGGAAACTATCAAGGTTAATTCCTGATGAATTCATCGTGATGGGCTAACTGGCCTGTTTTCATTCTCATCTATCACCCTACACTGGTGCTCCGCCAGCGTATCCCGTTAGCGCAGGCGGGGTAACCATACCATTTTCACCCATAAAAAAAAATGTATAGACTATACTACCCCTGACTACTCTGATTAGTAGTTCTAGTCGTGAGTATATCTTTTTTAATTCACTCGACATTTAAAAAGAGCTGCTTTGAATGAAACTGTTTTTCAAATTATTTGGAAAAGCAAGTATATTAAAGTAAGTATATATTTACATTATTACATGTATCACATCTCCATTTTTTAAAATAATAGAATTAACATCATGCCTCCGATCAAACTGTTTATAATTACTCCTCTCCATCTAAAGGTTGCCTGGAAGGGATCGCTTTTAGCGATAAGGTTGCCCATTGTTTTCTCATTGTGATTATTTCTTGTAATTGTTTATATTTATAATAAGTTTACTATTGCAATCTTTTGGAGGAAACAATAAAGAGTATCTGTCTATCTTTCTATATTTTTCAAATAAAATAAAATTGGACATAATTTAAAATGTGGAAACGTGTGTATTAAACAATTGGTTATTTGATTAGCATTATTTTGTTTAATTCCGCTACCATTAGTATGTGTAGTAAAAGTATTACAGGCCTGAAGATGACTCGTTTAGAGGTGAAACAAGTATTGCAAAACGTGCGTGAACAAAATAGCAGCCGGAGATTGATGGCTAATACGTAAGGCCGTGGAATTTCTGGTAGTAGAGGTGGTCAACCTTGGAGTGTTGGCAGTCACACACATACTAACGGTAGCGGAATTAAACAAAATAATACTAATCAAATGACCTAACAAATATGATTTTTTGCAAGATAACACTTCGTTCAGTAAAATATTAAGTACCTAATTTTGTTTCGCAATAAGTTGGATTTTGCTTGACAAAGAAAAACTACTACATATTTCAATCGCCACAAGACTAATATTTTTTTATTTTATTTATTTATTTATGGCAACAAACAGTCATTTACAAAATAATTAACAACAATATAATATGGAAGGAACATGGGAGTAAATACCATTAATTATTTACCATAATCATAAAAAAATGATTTACCATAATCAGTGACGTAATATAGTCATAAAAATCTGATGAATCAAAAACGAACCCTACTTTTAGAAGTCATAAGAACAGAAGAGAGTTAATGAAGAGTTATGTTTCTGTTGTTTACTTAATTAAAAAAAAAATGTTTGTATATTGTGTAAATATTTCGTAATTTTACGATTATCTATAGAGAACAATAACTCTGACCGCGTCCATATCTACATGTCACGGCAACAAATTCAACGTCAGCACGATAGAGGTAAACGCACACTACTCCGAGACGACGATGCGAATCGTTAAAAGATTTCCAATTGTTATCGAATAATAATAAATGTATGTTATATATGTTTTTTAAATAATTCATACAATATACCTATTTAGATATGTCACGGCAACAAATTTAACGTCAGCACGATACAGGTGAACGTACACTATTCTGAGACGACGATGCGAATAAAAGCGTTAAAAGATTTCGAATTGTTATCGAATAATAAATAAATGATATGTTTTTTAAATATATTTTTTTTTCAATGGAATTCGAATGGGACAGAGTTACCCAAACAAACGATTTTTGTACAAAGTCTCCCTCAATTTATTCAATATACCTATTTAGATCTATCAACTTTTTTGCCTCGTAAGGTTTATTTAGATATTGTTAGTAGTTAGTTGGTTTTTACGTTACACCTACTATTCTTTATTGTACACAAACATAATGTTGAGACCCTACTATCTAGGGAAGTTTTATACAAGATTAATTTATACCTTCAAGTAAATAGCAAAATTATTTTTAGCATAGTCTTTGTAGACAGTAATTCAAACTGAATGAAGTACGCAAGTGCTATGCGATCATGATTTGTAATTTAATTTGATATAATCGTTTTGTTTAAAGCTAATAGATGTTCGAGAATAATTATTTTTTATTGATCACACTGCAAAAAAAAATTTAGTACAAAAGGCGGATTTAATATTATTCATCTCTCAGTTAACTTTTGAAAAAAACAGAAATGTAATTATGTGGTGAAAAATAATGAAAATAGCTAGAGGTAATAGTTACAGACGTAACTATATTGACTGTCAAATAATATAATATATATAAAGACTGTCAAATAATTTAATATATATATATATATATATATATATATATATATATAACATACATACACGATAATGTATCGTGATACAAATAATAATAATGTATAATAAATATATGTTATCAGATATTTTCATTGTGTCTATTCGTGTGGTCTATTCGGCGTGGATAAGTGTGCATGCACCTTAACCCGCCACTGGTTTTACGTATCTAGATATAATGAAATATTGTGTAACAATTTATTTGATTTATAAGTTTACTATTGGAGTCTGTTTTTATGGGCCAACGGAATTTTATGCTATTTATATTTGGTTCGCGGTCTCGGTATTGGGGTATTTAAAGTAATTCTCCAAGGGAATTTTCTTTTATGCAACTTAGAATAGCAAACAATCTGACGTCGGACGTAACTATCCCCTATAGATATATACAGTACCATGAACATAACAGAGTATACGGTTGCGCCCGTGATACCCTCCATGCGTTGCCATTCCTGAGGATTCGGGTGTTATGCCTCTGTACCATGTAAATTCATTGCTATATCCCACCTTTCAAACCGAAACACAGCTATGCAAACACAACTTCACTCCACGGTAGAAACACGAATGGGACACAGGTACCCAGGCAAACGACTTTTGTAACTCTGGTAACAGCTGAGCTTTTGCCCATAGCTGACAGCTCCGCGCACATCCTAGGGTGGGCACAAGACAATTTTAGGGTGGGCACGATTCACTTGTCCCCTATTTAAATACGATTTTGAGGATCGCTTATAGGCTATTTTTTCTCTTGTAATATATCGCGGTCAAGTGGACAAAGTCGCGGGTAAAAGCTAGTATCTTTATAAATACGAGTCTCTAAACACGCTTGAGCAATGTAACATTTTTTTTTAAAAACTGTCGAAGTCCGAAGAAGGTATTTATGAAGAGAAAAATTGGAAAAGTTGTCCGGAAAAGCGCGAAGCCCCATTTTCCTCTTCCCATACAAAACTGGTCTTGGCTGTCAATTCAAACATGTCGAATAGCTTTTAACAGAACGACATCTGTCGGATCAAACAGTTAGTTCTTTTTTATACCACGGAGCTGGCAAACAAGCATATAGCTCGTCTGAGGGTTAGCAGTCACTGTCTGCCTATTGACGTCTCTAACACTGTAGTTGACTTTGAAGAAACTTTAATATAATATAATAACCTTTTTGAACGACCCCATACTGTAGTCTCTAATAAAAATTTCATATACATTGGTGAGAATTTAATTTACGTATTCTGTCCACTTCTGTTCGTATCTGTCTATCTTATATATTTATATATTCTTTATTGCACTTGTAAATTACATATAATATAGCATTTATAAATATTGTGAGCAAGGGTGGACTTATCTCTGACAGAGATCTCTTCCAGTCAACCCAATACAATGAGAAAGTATGTTGTTAGCGGGCAGCTGAAGTGCTACAACTATTA